TGATGCATTTCGAACCACCAAAATCACGATGAGAAAGTAGGCAACACCAAAGTGGACAAACCCTCACCTCAGCCTGAAGTCCGAAAAGCAATATCCCAAACTCGGAATGACAGGATGCTGTGTGCTATACTCAACGTGAGAAAACATAACTCATCTGGTCTGGAATTATTAACACTCATCCTCACTCCACAACCATGTGGGCAAGAGAAATTCCACTTGCCACTGGAATTATGGGGAGGACATGGAACAAACTGTGCTCAACCATAGACCCAGGATGGGACCACTCTGCATGAACTATGTACTGAACCAATATTGATCAAAAAGACGAGCCATGCTAACCCAACTGGATAGCCGAGCATCAAATCTGAACTGGTATTACAAGTAGACTCTCGCATAGGTTGGTGCCTCTCACACTAACATATATGGAAAAAAAAACAAGAAAAAAAACAGGGTCGCAGGTAGTAGAGCCCCAACTTTGCCCTCTTCTTCAAGAGTGAAGGTAATTCACTCAAACACTCTGGAGGACTAACCTCTGTCCACCACCCTGGTGATTGGAAACTAGGTGTGGTAAGGATTCTTTAACTCCACTAGTAGAATATGGGACTGGGGTAATACACGATGGGGAGTTATAAGATATATTGCAATAGGTGAACCAAGTTCCCTAAATTTTTAAAAGCAAACTGATCCTGATTTATTCATTCCAATGATTGGCAGGATGAAAAGGATTCCTTCACGCTTTACTGATGATAGTCCATAAGTGATGGTCCAGCATAGTACAGTAATACCACCCAGTCTGCCTGTAGGTGGTCTTATGGAACACCTCATTTTGACAGAGCCTGTTGCAACTTAGATAATGTATATTATGTTAATGGTTGTTGGTGCAGAATGGGTTTAATAAAAGCACAGCTGCATGGGCAACACTCGCCACAGAGTGGGATCCTGTGAAAAAGATGTAAGGGATCCTGAATACTCTCACCTCTTTATGATCTAGTGGATGTGGTTAAGATAGCTACAGGGGGTAGTCAAAAATCCTCAGAGGAAGATACTGCCAGATCATTCAAATAATGTGAGATAAAAGTATTGGAGGAGGTTCACATACCAGCCTACACAATTTCCTCTAGTGGACAATTCAACTGGGCCACTAAGGACATAGAAAAATGATGAATCAGATGAGACATGACTTGCAGAAGTCTCCTCACCTTCAAAGAGAGCCCTAAATATTATTAGTGATATGGATCAATTTTTATACCCACCTCGACAAGGTAATTGAAGATAAAGCCCAGGAAACTGAAGGATCCCAATGAATAAAAAGTCGTTGTCTAGCACTCTAAAGGCATTAGTGTGGGAAACATAACACTTCAAAGCCCTCACTGGGCATAATAAATAATCGGAATCTAGTCAGTCATAGAGGTGAGAAATAGCAGGCATTTGAATTGGTGAAAAAGATTTATCTCCTTCCCTGACTAGCAGTGTCTTAGGTATAAGGACCTGTCTGGGTATAGGAGGACGTAGGTAAAATGATAATGTGGCCTGTGCACATGGAGCACAAACAACTCCAACTGGCATTGTCCGCAGGCCAGCAGCAACAAAAATAATCCTTAAAGGTACATGGTACATGAGGCCAAGGGCTCAAATAGATGTTGAGAAAGAGCATGTAATACCACATTATTATCTCAGTTAGGTGAATGAAATGGTCGTTTGGGACAAAGGACCTGAAATGACTTGGGGAGGCTGGAGAGCACTGGGGACTCAAATAACGTTTGTCTCTTTGAATATCTAAAAGCAGTCAATAAGGCCAGCTTATATAAGGCAATTATGCAAAACCCTTGTAAAAGAGCTAGATAGAAAAACAGTCATGGTAGGCACTTCTGGACAAAGTGGGTTCAACCTCCTCACAATACACCATTGTCTATATATGTGCCATTTCCGTTGATAAATGTCCATAGCAAAGACTGAGACACATACATGGAAACCACATAAGTTAAACCCCAAAGCCACGCAAAAGACCACATAACCACCAATCATGAAGCTTGAGCTTCAGAATGGCTGGGTGTACAATGTTGGATTGTGGCTGCTACAACAGAGATGGCCAAAGAGGAAGTGGAAGAGGTGGGCATTCCTGAAGGTACCTCAGAAATGGTTAAGCTTGCAAATCTTGGGCTATCAACAGACCCTGAAAAGGAGTTGAATGAATCATAGATTGTACTCTGGGTAACATATGAATCAGTGGAAAGGCATAGAGGTGCAATCCCTTAAAGTCCTGACTGAATGCATCTATTGCCAATTCCTAAAGGTGAGGTACCAGAGACCAAAATGCCTGTAGTTGAGTGTTTCAATGAGTAGCAAATGCATCGATCATCAGTATCCCGAACTGAGAGCAAATCCAATGGAAAATCTTGCAATGCAGCATCTATTCTGTCAAGAGAATCCAACTGGGTTGAGACAAATGTTCTGCCACCAAATTCATCACTCACAGAACATAACAACCTAGTAGGATGATATAATGAGAATGGGCTCAATAAAGAAGATCGAAGGTTCAAAAAACAAAGAGATGTGGACCGAGTGCCCCTTTGATGGGAAATGTAAGACACCATCATAAAATTGTTGAAACGAAGCTTGATGATTTTACCCATCAATAAATCCAGACCTTGAGACATCGCCTTTTGAACAGCAAGCAGTTCTAAAACAATGATGTGTAGGGAAACCTTGTTATCCATCCATAGGCCCTGGAAGTCCTGACTGTTGAGATATGCACCCCATTCCTGAAGCAACACATCCATGAAGAGATGGATTTCTGGACAAGGTGATGGCAGAGGAACACCTATCATAGTATTATTCTGATCTAACCACCAGTAGAGTTCGAAAACGTTGATCCTGAATAAGGAGACTGGGAAATCCAGTGAATTGCTGTTCATGATCCCTTGGTCATATAGACCACTGAAGGGATGTCTTGTGCACTCATCTCAAAGAAATGGGTGATTTGGGTGATACCCACATCCCCAAAAGAGAAAAACCACCTGTGCAGCAGAAAGAGATGCGAGTATGAGTCAGACTGCCTGTTCCACTTACTGGGACGACACTTTCCACTTCACCCTTCACCAATAAATCTCTGATAGCTCTGGAACTAAGTTCTGAAACCAAGGATCTGTGGGAAGTGAAAACGCTACAGGATAATGGTGGTGAAGATGGGAACTAAATGACTAATCCTTATGGAAGGACCTGTAGTACACATGGATCCATGGTAAAGGTTTTCCACACGTCCAGAAATTCTCGGAGCCAAGCCCCACAGACCCTAAAGGCTTACAGTAGCCATGCTGCCACTGGTGGCATTCCAACTGATCAGAGGAACCTCATTGATATAGGTGGAATCTATTCTGGGTAAGAATGGACCAAGAGGCTGATGTCAGGGGTTAGAACAATCGAATAGTAGTAGTAGCCAAAGTAAGTCGAGCAGCCAACGATGACAGAGATGAATGCAGATGGGTGATAGCTGGTAGATGAACACCCTCAAACAATGCATCTCTACCCAACAACAGATCAGCCAAGAGAAAGTGCAGAAGCTGACAATCGAACTAAGTTGGATGCTAAAAATGGTCCCACTTGACGTCAAATTGGTGTGGTGATCACTGAGAGGCTTCCAACGAAAGTTGGAGGGATAATAAATATCTTAGCACCATAGTTAGGACCAGATGGATCCTTGAAAATTGTGATCTATTCAGGTTTCCCACGAACTCCTTTCTGGAACCCCACATTTCCAGGAGTGGATCTATTCTTTGAGAGTCTAAATATGCATCCACCTAGCAGTGGTTGGCTAAACCATGTTGTTCTAACAAACGTGGTGGACAAGGCATAGTATCCCTTCATGTAACTGAGCAGTGAACCTCCCTGCATGAACTGTAGTATCAGGGGATAGAGAGAGAACCAAATATTCATCCTCAGACCTTTCCATCAATGAAGGCACAGAATCAAAAGCAACCAGGGAAAGACCCAAAAACCACACATACTTGATTTACCAACTGAAGAAAAGGAGCTGGAGGCTGCTGATCCCAAACTGTCCTCCTAAGAAGCTGAAAGAATAATGGAAGGCACTGAAAGAAGCAAATCAAATTGTTTCCAGAATTTCCAGGATCGCTTGTAAGTGCGACTACATATTTGTCTCCATCTTAATATAAATAAGTTCACAGAAAGCCACACTAGATATCAGAAGTGAGATAGGAGAAATCAAATTTCCCTCTATGCTGGAAACAGTAATCCAGGAATTCATGCCGTATATCTTTTTTTTATGAAAATCAACCAGGTAACACAAAGATAGTCAAAGTATTTCTAGCAGTAATAGTACATAAAAAAACCCATTAGTGAATGCTTTGTTGAGAAAAAGTGATAATATTATCTGAATGAGGTGCTTATATACAAGTACCAGGATAGAGGGTGCATTATTGTAGGTAGAGATTACCATTACTTAGATAGGCAAAGGAAGGAAACCCTAGCAGTCAAGTAATAGCTGTAGTGTGAGAAGAGGTAAGTATATTTTGGAACTAATCATTATGAGTTTTTTGGGGTTTCTAAAATTTTATTTTAACAAAATGTGTCACTGTGAATAAGAAATTTGAAGATATTAGAAAATGTCAATTAGAAATATATAAAATGCACTGCTTGATCCACACTTACGGTAGCAGGTTTGTTATGAATTTTGTGCAAAGCTACACGAGGGCTATCTGCACTAGCTGTCCCTAATTTAGCAGTGTAAGACTAGAGGGAAAGCAGGCAGCTAGTCATCACCACCCACTGCCAACTCTTGTACCAACTAATAGTGGGATTGACCATAACATTATAATGCCCCACAGCTGAAAGGGCAAGCATGTTTGGTGTGACGGGTATTCGAACCCATGACCCGCAGATTACGAGTCGAGCACCCTAACCACCTGACCATGCCTGGCCTATGGTAGCAGACCTTACAGTAATTTCAACAATGATAAAGATATAAGCAATTGAGAAATATGTGCATAAAGAAAGGTTGCAAAGGCAATCTTTATTCTGGCATGACATTTTTTAAATGTGATATTTAACGTTTTTCTTAGCTTTATAGTATCAGGCATACTTACAACATCAGAAGAAAAAATTTTAAAAAATTCTACATATAAAATATTTGTGTCTAAAATCAAGTTATTGTAGTATTATTTATTGTTATTGTCCATGAATTACAACTAAAAATACTTGTATACAATATTTTCATTCAAGTCAGCTTAATTATTTTCCATTAATTATGACAAAAACATTTTCTATCGTTATGATTCAAGTTACAGACTTTAAAAAATTATAGTTTAGATTTGGTTCCACTTATTTCAACCACTGCCTTTTTGACTAATTCACTTATTTCTTCTCTGGTATATCCTAGTTCCAATAGAACTTCTTCACTATGCTGACCAATGATTGGTTGAATTAAAGAAGGAATAGATGGTGACTTTGAAAGCTTAGGAGCAGGTCTTGGAATGGACATTTGTTGTACTGAATCCTTCATAAAAGTTTCCAGACTGCAGTTATGAGCATAGCTAGAGGCTTCTTGTAGTGATAACACAGGAGTTACACAAGCATCTAATTTGTTAAAAATTTGGCACCATTCTTCTTGGGTTTTGGTAGCAAAAATTCTGATAAATTTTTTATGTGTTTCAGGCCAGTTATTAAACTGTGGACAGTCTTCCTCTTTTAAATCAAGACCTATTTGAAAAAGTAATAAAAAATTATAACTTAAAAAGGTTTTTAATTTCAGGTAAAACATTATCTAATTATGATCAAACTTAAAGGTTTATGTCAATAATATTAGCTTCAATAACTATTTATATCAAGGTTCCAGTTATTATTAGTAAAAATAATTCTATCATTAACAATAAATATAGAAGAATTTTAAATTTAAGTGATTTATCTTCATACTTTTCTTTCTAAATTAAAATCCAATTAACTACTTTGTCCATGCAGATCTTACTACTACTATTAATTTTGATTGAATGAAACAACTGTCCAAAGGTTTTTCTTAGTAATGGCTATAAAAATATTCAGTATGTCAATAGTTTGAATGGTAACCATATTAAAGACTGGCCATTATGTTGTAAAATTTATAGTGAGATAATATTATGATCTAGAGTTCCTAAGTTTTAAGCTCTCTTTATTGACAAATTTTTTGCCAAAAGTTCATTGAATATATTGAATTTTTCTAATTTTGTAAAGCACATGTATAGAAGAAAAAAGCAACTTCTTTTTCACTTTAAGTTTCTTTGTTGAATTTTGCATGAAGCTATTTGGGAGCTAATTGCGCTAGCTGTCCGTAATATGGAAGTGACAGATTAGAGGAAAGACAGTTAGTCAACACCATCTCATGCCAATATGTAAAAAATTAATATGCTGCTGTTACTAATTTCAATTTGTAACCATAATTTGATCAAAAATAGTACTGAGAATTCATGATGACAGTATTTTGACTGGTTGATTACTTTCCTGACATTAATTAATTTAATCATAATTTTGAGTAAACAGTTACTTATATTCAACAAATATACTAATATTAGTTTCTACCAGCTTTACTTCCTCAAGCTTTCTGTAAGTGGAGATGTAGAATCCTTCAAATCATTGAACATTTATAAACCGAGACTTAAAATGAATGTACTCTTTCCAAATCACAACTCAAAACTCTATATTGATCATGTGTAAACAAAAATGGATGATTTAAATGGTCCTTAAAAGCTATAACATCCTTGCATACAGATCCCTGAAAAATGTAACCACTTAAAATCATCCTTTATTTTTAGGAAATCATCAATTTCTATTTAAAACTCTTGTAAGTTACAAATCTACACTAAAACATTTATTTTAAAAACCAAAACCAGTATGCAGAAATAATGATAATTTGAAATTCTACATGAAAATCACAATAACATTATTAATAATAATAAAAAAATTAATTAAATAAAGCTTTATCAAAATCACAAGATTTAAAATTTTTTATAGAGTTTCTAAATGTCAACAAACTTCTGTAAATTTTAAACAATAATTCTTTAAAATACATTAATAAAACAATACATTAATTAAAATGAAATTGAATAAATTATCAGACACAATATATAAATAGCCTATAAACTGCACTACATTAAGTACAAATTATTTTTGATTTCAAAAACCAAAGAGTGCTAAATAATTTTTAAGAATTAAATTCTGAATAAAAAAACCATCATTAGACTTTAAACAAAGTGTTTGAGTCAACATACTACTGAATTAAATGATACCCATCTTTATAACACATTAAAATGTTTACTTGCTCATTATTCAGTAAATTCTACATTGTTTTTATTTTGATAAAGAAGATTTACATAATTACAACAATTTTCTATGGTAAACTATGGGTAATAGTTATCAAATATGAGATCAAGTATTTTTGAATATACTCTAAGCTTGTAAAGACTTTCTTGAAAGGCTAAATTTTCAACTTAATGAGAGAAGTAACACACTGAAGGCAAAGCCACAAGAGGATCAAGAGATCACTCCATTTAAAAGATTATGTCTGGACAGGAAAGACAACCCATGACAAGATTGAAAGCATCCAAAACATGACACGTAATGATATGGATACCTTGCATATGGACCCAGAAAAGAAGATCCAACATATGAAAACATAGAGATCAAGATCACCTTGGTGATTGAGATAAGCAACCATTGTAGCATTGTAAGAATTGATCATTACCAGATGATGTCTGGCCAGATGGAGAAAATAATCCAAGTCCCAAAGTACAGCTAGAAGCTCCAAAATGTTAATATGATAAGACTTCTTGGCCGCAAACCAACATCCCGAAGCCTCCTGTTGATCAAACTACACCCCCCATACTTTGAGGGAAGCATTCATGAAAATATGTAAATCTGGATGAGGAGGAGGAAATGGGACACCCACCAACGTGTGGGTCCTGTCCAACCACCAAAGCAGATCTTCAAAAACAACAAAGGCAACTAGAACAAAATAAACGTGGCACTTGCTCAACCATATGTTATATGAAACCTGCACATATACAGAACCAGGAATATATATTCAGAATAAATTCTTGCAGACAGAAATGTATGGTATATTCATATATCACAGTTTCCTCTCTTCCTTAATTAATTAATTTTAACCTTAAAACCAATGAACTTTAAATTTGTGCCCTGGTCTAGAAGTGCATTAACTTTCACTTGCCACATGGGCATCAAAACTCTTAAAGATAAAGAATACAATACAAATTTTCACATTAGATAAAAATACCCTTTAATATACATTGAAATGCATACAAAACATAATGACTGAAACCCTTTCATAAAGATAATGGAAAATTCAGTTATAATAAAAAGAAAACTTGATAATACATTAACAAGAAAATGAGATGCTTTTAAACAATGAAATGACATATATATATATATATAAAAACCTTTCAACAAAGATGTACGTAATACAAAAATAAAACCTTTAACATTGATACATAAAGAAACCCCTAACTCTGAATCAAAGTAAAGAAAAACCCATAAAAACTAGAATACAAAACAAAAATATGCCATTGAACATCAACTGAAAAATAAAGCATAAAAATGTATTTTCAAAATTTACATTAAAATACAAGATACAAAGTAAACCCTTTAATTCTCAGCATTGATAATCAAAATCACAAGTTGAGTTTTATATCATTTTACAAAATGTAAAAAGAAGTTTTAATTCTCTTAGAGAAAGAAACCAAATGACTGAAACTTCATATTATATACACAAGTATATATATTTGTATATTGTAAATGTTTTCATTTAATGATAATATGACTAGTAACACTAAAAATGATATAAAAAGTGTACACAGCCAGCAGCAGTTGCATCACTCATTCTGCTTTGCCATACTGAAAGGGTTGAAGATCCACTGCTACAATCACCTCTATGTCCTAGTTCTGTTGGCTGGAAATTTCTTTCCACTGCCTTCTCTTCAGCCATAGTTGACCTCATAGTTGCTGGAACCTTGGGGTACATTCCTCCTCAGTCAGAATATAACTTTCAATTGAGAAATTTGGAGGTTTTGACTTAAAGAGAATGAAAAATCACCAACTAGTTGGAGAACAAGATATCCAGAAGCATTATCAAAAAGTCCAAACTGAAAATGCAAGACTGGATGAATTCCAATTGGTCCAAAGTTCAGCTAGATGTGTAGGTTGAAAAATGGCCTTAACTACCTTAATACAACCATTCCTTCCGTAAGTGTCTGGATGTTACATAAACATTACCTAAAGCCAGTAGGAAAGGAATGGGGTGGAGACTGCAAAATTCCCACATATAAACTGACTTGGATTAGATTACACCAATCTTTACTTGTGATTTGAGAATTCATTAGCATTTACTTTGTGGTTTCTAAGAGAACTTCTTCTAGTTAAAAGTTAAGTACTAGTTTTAGGGCAAATTACAAAGTTTCACCACCTGGGTGATAGATTCTGCCAGAGAATATATGTATTAGGTCATCAAGAAATTAATGTTGCTTTTTTTTAGATGAAAAAATCTGAACAAAAGAGATGGTAATCTGATGGTGCTATATCTGGAGAATATGGTGGGTGGGGGAGAACTTCCCAATCCAACTCCATAATCTTGTGTTGCATCAAACGTGCCACATGTGGACATGCATTGTCATCGAGAAGAACACCTTTCCGACTGATGAGTGAAGGGCATTTCTGATGAAGGGCTTGATTTAAATGTTCCAGTTGCTGACTATAGACCTCTGCATTGACAGTTTGCTGTGGATTGAAGAGCTTGAAATGAATTACTCCTTTGATGTTCCACCAAATGCAAAGCATCACTTTCTGCGGATGGAGTTCAGGTTTTGGGGTCAGAAGTGGTTTTTGTCTAGGACTGAGCCATTGTTTTTGGAGTTTAATATTCACATAGGGAATCCATTTTTCATCATCAGTGACAATTCTGTCCAAAAATGGTTCATGCACATTACATGCCAGAAGCGATAAAGTAATATTCACATGTTGGAAAATGACTATGATAATCGGAGAGTTCGTGAGGCACTCAAACACCTTTTTTTATGGGGTTTTCCCATATTCCTTAGATGTTT